TGTATAATAGGTCATGTGAAATAGGAAGAAAAGGGGCAAAGGGGAAGGGGAAGTGGGAAGGGGAGGGGAAAGGAAAAATTATGAGAAAAGAAAAAAATGGAAACAAAGTTTTTGTACACAGGGAGGAGTGGAGGGGTTGAAGGGAGGGCGGGAAGGAGGAAAAAATAAGAACCGAGATACATCACATACAGGTACAAGATCCCATTGATGAGTGTAACTTATTGTGTACCTAACACGTCCTGATAAACTTAATGAAAAAAAATAAATGAAAGAGGCGGCTTAGGGTTCTCTGCACACAGGACCATGTCCCAGCACTGTGGGAGGCTGAGGCACAAGGGTCACAAGTTCTAGCCAAGCCTGGGCCATTTACCGACTTAGTGAGACCCTGTTTCAAAATTTTTAAAAAGGCTGGGATACAGCTCAGTGCTAAGACCTAGCTTCAATGCCCAGTACCCAAAGGAAAAAAAAAAGAGAAAAGAGAAGAGAAATGAAAAAATTCTGATCCCAGCTACAGCATGGGCTACCCTCAAAAATGTGCAGAGTGGGCTGGCCATGTAGCTCAGCAGCATAGTACCTGCCTGGCAAGCGTGAAGCCCTGAGTTCGATTTCCGGTACAACAACAGCAACAACAACAACAAAAACATGCAGAGTGGAATGAGCTACACACAAGGCCCACACCTTGTGTGATTCTGTTTACTCCAGAGTGGTGGAGCCTGAAGCCGAGGGGCTGGTAGGGGTCCTGGGTGGCTGCAGTCCAGAGGAGGGCGGCTGAAATCCCACAGAACTGTGCAACGCAAATGCTTCAGGGCTAATTTTATATTATGTAAATTTTTTCTTGGTTGAAAAAATTTTAAATATACACTAAAATTAAAAATAAAATGCACTGTGAAAATGTGTCTCTCATCTCAGCTCAGCATCTGTCTCCCTCCTGGGGCTTGGGACATGCCCCGGGGGAGGCTTGTGGAGTGGAGTGAGCCAGGAGCGAACCCAATGTGCGGGGTGGCTGGCAGATCAGCAAATGGCACTTGGTGGCCAGGTGTAGAGCAAAGCACAAATGGGCCACATTTATAGGCAAGAAGACGGGTGTGGATCGCAGATTTGATCAGCCTGGACAACTTAGTGACTCAGTGAGACCTTGTCTCCAAATAAAAAGTAGAAAGGCCTGGAGTACAGGTCAGTGTGAAGGCCATGGGCTCCTCAGTGCCACAGAGAGAGATGGCGGGGAGGGAAGGAGAGGGGGTTCCAGAAACAGGACGCTGATCCACATGAGCTTTTCCCTACACAGAGAGGAGGGATGGGGAGCAGGAGAGCTCCCTGCTGGGATGTGCTGGGAATGGTCACCTCGCTGCTGCCCTTCACCCTGTGGGGTGAGCCCGGGAGAACATGGCCTCTGCTGGACACCTCCAGGCTGAGGAGAGAAAGGAGTACTGTCTACCAGGTCCAATGCTGGGGTCCTGCCACCCCCTCCTTCTCTCCAGCCACTGGTCCCGCCACCTGATAGTGTCTTTTACTTATTTGAGGAGCAATTTGAGACAGGGTCTCAGTGTGCAGCCCAGGCTGGCCTCAGACTTGCAGCGATCCTCTTGCCTCAGCCTCCCAAGTGATGGGATTATAGGCGTGAGTCACCACACCAGGCTCCAGTCTTTGCCCTTAGTATTCTCTCACATTTGGGGATGTCAGTTTAAATGTCCCTGTGCCTCAATGGCCTCCTCGTGGTGCTACACCCACTGTACAAGTGCACATTGGTCGTTGTTGACCACATCCAGTCCCAGGGCATCGAGTGGCATCTGCCTTGAAGGTGACCTCACTTCTCTGCAGCCCCCTAGCTCTGTTCAGAACCCCATGTGAACCATGGGCCACACCTGGACAGCCCTCCCTCCTCCGCAGGACTTGGGTCCCGACCTTGTTTCCAGTTTGGCTTTCAGACAAGGGGGTCCCATCAGGCCTCCCTCTATGGCAGAGCCTCTTCTGACGCTTTGCTGGCTCTGCCTCCCTGACAACCTTGTCCCCCTTCTTGGAGCTCAGAGCTGTTTGCAGAAACTAGATCCTGCTCTGCCCAGACCTGCACCAGCCCCACTGGGCTCACTGTCCACAAGGTACAGGGCTGGAGCTGCCTCCCTGTCTAAGGGCGGCTCAGCTGGTGGTCCCTTGGAACCTCAGATCTGTCTGAAAGAGGAGCTCAGCAGAAAGCTTGGAACCCAGTTGTGGCAGCACACACCGGCAATCCCAGCACTCTGGGAGGCTGAGGCAGGAGGATGGCAAGTTCCAGCCCAGCCTGGGCAGCTGAGTGACTTAGTGAGGCCCTGTTTCAAAATTAAAAATACCAAAAAAATTAAAAATACAAAGGGCTGAGATGGCGAAGCCCAACCGACCTCCATGGCTGCTTGACAAAGTTCTAGCTGGGGAAAGAAAGGGTGGAACACATCGCACCCTCATGTTTTATTTTTTCATGCCATAATGTTTATAATTGTTACTCTGATCACAGGAGTCATTGTGTTTGTGACTAACAACAAACTCTCCATGAGGCAAATTGACAATAATGTATTGAAATCTGATCTGGCTCACAAGTCCCAAATTCCAGTTTCTCTTAGTTCTATTGCCACATCCACTCCTAAAGAAACCTCTCCTAAAACCCCCTCTGTTTCCCCCACTACTATGACTCCCCCTCTTATTGCTGACCTTCTTATTACTAAAGGGGTCTTATGAAGAGATTGGAAGGACAGACTTTAGATGTAAGAAATAGTGGAAAATGGGAAATAGAAAGAACGTTAAGACAGGTAAATGCATTAAGGAGGCAAGTTACTCAATATTTCTCAAAGTGCTGTAAATATCTCCTGCTCATGGACAATGAACCCAAATGACATTTAGTTAAGATGAATAGAGGTAAAGTAAAATAGAGAGCTAATAGCAAACTATATTAACCATTGTGCAGTTTCTCAAGGGCCAGCTGGCGACCACAAGTTTGACACTTAGTTGATTAAATCTTGCTTGTACCCCCGCTGATATAAAGATTTTGATTAAGTTACTTTCTGTTCTGTTTAGGTGTGGGTAAACAAGGGGGCAATTGTAATTTTTAAATATGTATTCATGACGTTCAATGAAATGAAACAGCTTAGAGGAATTGTACTTTGTTTAAAAAGAAAATAACCTTTACTTCAATAGAAATTGCTAAGGCAACTTAAAATGTAAACATGTTCCGCCCAATGCCTCCCAGCTACTGCTTAAAGATATAAAAATAAATCAGACCCTGAGACTTCTCAGAGGGAACCTGGACATTGCTTGTGGAGGTTCTTTTCTCATCGCCGTCCCAGGACCTCTCCCCTTCCTACCCTACATCGACTGCAGCTGGTCTGCGGCACTGAGATTTATGTACATGTACCAACTCCCAAAGATGATTGTAAAATGTGGATACTGCAAATATGTACTAATAAAAATTTTCAAAAAGGACTGGGATATAGCATAGAATGAAGACCCTAGGTTCAATTCCCGGTGCTGGGGGGGCCGGCACTGGCTGGGAGGCCCCTATCCCTAGGAAGCCTTTCTTTGGTGGCATCCAGAGCTAGATGGGCGGAAGAGCAGGCCAGGGCTAGCAGGGCCTCTGGAAGCCCAAGCACAGGCCCACTGGGGTCCTCAGACTTGCTGCTCACTTCCGGGAGCCAAGGTCAGGCTGACCACCCCCCCTGCTATGCCCTGGCCTCCCTGGCCTCTTTCCTGCAAGACCCCTGAGGTGGCCCTAGCCCAGGCTGAACAGGACACACGGGACCCGGCCCATGTGCAGAGCAGAGCCCAATCCCACCACCATCAGCTCCACACGGCAGCCGGGGAGGTGAGGTGTTCTCCACTGGTGGCTGGGGACTATCCCCTGCTTGGCTGCCTTGGCTTACCTAAGGGGACATTGGAGAGTGGGACAGGGGCGATGACAGTGACCAGTGCCCTTAGGGAGGGGCAGCCAGAGAGCCCAGCATGAGCATGAGCATGAGGTCCCACAGTAAGGACTGCAGCACCACCTGGCCCCTCAGGAAGGTGGGATGGCCTTGGGGACCATGTGGGGGCTTGCCATGCCGATGACCTCCTCCCTGGAATACCTGACAGGTCCCATGCTGGCCAGTCCACAGGGACAGGATGTGACTGGAGGTGACCAGGGGCTACCCATGTGGGGCATGACTGCTACATGGGCCTGGGTCCGAAGTGGACACAGGTGACAGTTGCATGGCACTGTGAATGGATAAACACTGCTAACTGCAGTTTGGCTGAAATGAAGGAATCCACAGCAGGTGAGCTTGATCTCAATAAAAACTGACTTTATGAAACATACTTTCTCATGCTGTGGGGCCTCCGGCGCTGACTCACGCATTTCCTTAGGGTTGAAGAAGAAAGCAGTAAGGACAGCGCCAGGGACCAGGCCTTGTGGACACACATAAGAGGCCACGCCACCTCCTAGGCTCACCGGATCTGGTATGGGGACACGGGATGGGAGGTGGGAGATGAGTGGGGTGGCTGGTGTTCCCCTTGACAGCCACGTGCCCCTCCCATCCGCACCAGGTCCCTCGGTGCTCACCGTGTACTTGTCCCACTTCTTCTCCGGGTCGTAGGGCTCCCATCGGCTGGCCGGGAATATGTGCTTGTTCTTCTCGTACCAGCTGCGCAGCACCACCTTGCCGGCATGCGACTGGGGAAGGGACAGCTCAGCTCAGCCAGCTGCTGGGGACGGCTCACATGACCACCCTGTCAGGACCCCTGTGCTGCCCAGTGCACCTCATCCTTCTCCACGGTGGCATCGCTCAGCAGCCGCACATCATCGTGAACGTCAAAGTTAAAGAGTGGCCCTGCAGGGAGAAGGAGCTGTCCCAAGGTCCCACCCCAAGGTCCTGCCCCGAGGTCACTTGGCCTCCCCAACTCAACCTGCTGGGCCGCAGGCACTCACCGCTCTTCCCACGTGCCTTGGTGACAATGAAGTCGTAGAAACTGTGATGCTAGGGATCAAGGAGGGGAGACCTGCTCAATCCCCATCCTGGCCCCTGACACCTGCCGCACCCCACGCTCCTACACATGGGCCAGGTGCCAGCAGCACCCAGTGGGTGACCCAGGGCCGAGGGGACTCACATGGGGGATGATTAAGTCCTCCTTGATGTACATGAGCTGCTCCACCCCCGCTGACCTGGGGGAAGAAGACAGGTGTCGGACTGGGGAAGGGACAGCTCAGTGGACAGACGGGTGGACAGCACCATCCTCAGTCTATGCCAGGAAGGGGAAGGCAGCTCAGCAAGCAGGGGACACATGGCACCCCACTATGCACGGCCTCTGGATCAGGGTGCCCAGGGAGGAGCCCACCTCAGCTCAGTGGCAGGAGGGAGGGAGCAGCAGCCAGGCCGGAGCTCTGCACACGAACAGCCTCACCTGAGCTCACTGAAGTCCTTCCGCAGGATCTCCAGCGCCTTCTGCAGGAACTGCTGCATGGTGTTGCCCTTTTTCATCTGCAGAGGGTTGGAAAGGAAGCAGGGGCCCGAGCAACACTCAGGGAGCGGCTGGACCAGGACCCCGGGAGCTCCACAGCACCTACCTTGACTGTCCGCCGGTGCCCGGAGCCGTCCCAGTAGCTGAAGGTGATCTCAATCTCCTCACCTGCGGAGCACAGTGACTGTTCAGTCACCCGTCGCTGGCACCACAGCCTCCGGAGGCCACATCACCCCCCGCACCCCCGCACTCACTCTTGATCTTCTCCTGCTTGGCTTCCCACTCCTGCCGCAGCTCCTCCCGCAGCCGGTTCTCCTCCTCCTGTGGAGGACATAGCCCAGCATTGAGGCACAGGGCTGCCCCCACTGGCCACCAGCACCAAGGGCAGGGGCAGCAGCTCTTACCTCCCGGTCTCGGTCAGGCAAGAAGCTCGTGTCCACATCGGGGTTCTTCCCTAACTTCCTTTTCTTTGTGGTGACCTCTATAAGAAAAGCAAAGAACAGGGCCAGGGATTTAGCTCTGTGGCACCACACATGCCCCGAAGGCACAAGGTCCTGAGTTCAATCCTCAGTATCAAAAATAGAGACCAAAGAACAGTTTAGCAACTGCATGTGGTGGTGCACACCTGTCATCCCAGCACTCAGGAGGCCGAGGCAGGAGGATCACCCAAACCAGCCTTGGCTGTATAGTGAGATCAGGGCCATCCTGGACTATATAGCAAGACCCTGTGTCAAACAAACAAAACAGAAAAATCCCCCCAAAACAAAAAGCAACCTAGACATTATTCTGAAAAGGGTTTTAATCTTCTGGACCCCGTAAGGGTCTCTCAGACCCCCAGTGTCCCTCAAGCAAAGCAGACACCAGGGTTCTGCTGCTGGCCCCCCACCCTGGGGGGCATGGGCCTGACACATAGCTGGAGCTCCAGAAGCTGCAGGGTCACATTTTGGGTGTCAGGTTAGGCGCGATGCATCATGGGAAGTTCACTTGTTCATGCTCAAAGCCATGGGCAGGTTCCTCCTCAGGACATCCCAACCATTCCCCAAAAAGCCATTGCACCCAGATGGTTACCGCCCACACAGTGCCCCGCAAGGGTCTCCTGTCAGGACATTACAGCTTCTAAAACACAAGTGTGAAAGGTCTGGCTTCAATCCCCAGTACCAAAACAAATTTAAAAACAACTAAATAGGGCCGGGTGTGGTGGCGCATGCCTGTCGGCCCAGCACTGAGGAGGCTGAGGCAGGAGGATTACTATGAGTTTGAGGCCAGCCTGAACTAAATAGCAAGCCCCTGTCTCAAAAAACAAAAACAAAAACAAATTTCTAAGACATTCCAGGCTTTATACACAGTACAGCACTACTCTGCCACAAAGAAATATAAACTTGGGTCATTTGTAGGAAGATGCATGCACTCTGAGACCATAATGTCAAGTGAAACAAATCAGACACACAGGCTTCAATATCAAATAGTTTCTTTCTCTTATGTGAAATATGTAAAATATAAAAAGCAAAGTATGTTAAAAGTAGATAACAAGAAACAGGGGAAGGGGATCACAGGATGTGGGGAGGGCGAGGGAGGGCAAGAAAAGAATGAAGATGTGTCCTGTACACGTACCAGGTTTCCACGAGGAGGACAATCATGATGGACTAAGAACTCGTACCAGTGAAAAATAGAAAGAAAGCCATCCAGGCCTGCCACCATGTGCCCTGCCATGTGACACTTTCCCTGACCTCAGGCCAGGCCTCGCCCAGGAGAGGGGCAGGACCCTGCACACCCTGCCCAGCATAGGAGGGTGTACGGTGCGTGGGGGCACCTGGGCGCTCTGGCCTTGATCCCGGCCTCCGCAAATTGTCCCTGGTGGCCGAGGCCCATGGTGGCCACTGAGTTCTGTGGCTAGGTGACTCTGATGACATGGATCAATGCCAAGTGTGCACCCATGCTCCTCACCACCAGTGGGCAGTGAGGACTCAGGCCGAGCCTTTGCCAGCAGCCTCGATGGCGGCCCGTGGGCGGGGACTCCTCTCCCTGCCTAGCTCTGGCTCCCTGAATTCTTCTCTGTGAGCCCCTCATGCTCACCTGCCCTTTCCAGCTCTTCCTCATCTATGGCGACTTCCTCCTCTTCTCCTCCCTCCTCTTCCTCCTCCAGAGTGAAGGACAGGCTTGAGATCTTCCGCTTGGCCTCCTTCTTGCGCTCCTTCTCTCGCAGCTTCTCCAGCTTCCTACCAAGGCACAGGTGGTCATTCTGCCCCGTATCCAGATCTAGAGATGCTACATGCTCAGTGAGGGGAGCGCCAGTGCAGGCTGGAGGGGTCCAACTGCCCTGGGTCACCGAGATCCTGGGCAGGGCCTTGATTATGACACAGTAGGCAGAGAGAGACACAGGGTTGTGACATGCAGAGGATGGAGAGGATGCAGGCTATTGGGCACCAAAAGAAAGGAGGGGGCTAAAAGGACTCGCCACCTTCTCGGGGTCAGGAAGTAGAGAAACAAACCACAAACTCGAGAGGACTGTTTTGAGGCCCAAACTAGATGCTACCCCTGTTCCCAAAGCAGGAAACGGAGCTCCCCCTGGAACAAGAGTAGCCTGAGTCGCTCCCAGAGCCCACACATGTGAGCTGCATATGAGGGGCAGGCACAGGAGGAGACGGGAGGGGACAGGAGGGGGTGGGGGTGGGAGGGAACCCACAGCTGCAGCTCCTTTGACTGTTCTTTCTTAGCCAGCTGCTTCTCCCGCTCCTTCACCAGCGCCTCCTGCTTGGCCTTCATGTCATTCAGTGTCACAAGCCCTGCAAGGAAGGACTGGTCACCCAGAGCCAGCGCAGGGGCAGCCCTGTGCCTGGGAGAGCATGACACGTACACCCTGCTCACCCACGGTGCTGGACTTGAGCTCCGCCTCCACGGCGTCATAGTGTGCCGAGAACTTCTTGTCGATGTTGGATTTCATGATGTTCTCCTGCAAGGGAGGGAGTCCAGCTGTGAAGACCACTGCCACCCTCCCAGAAGCCACAGCTGCCTGTCGGGGACCTGGGTTCCAGTCCTAGATCTACCCTTCAATGCTCTACGGTGTGATCTCAGAAAGCCACACAGCCCCCTTCCTTGGCTGGAAGAGGTTTTTCAGTGCTAGCCTCACACTGCTGGCTGTGAAATTGACCCTCCCGAGACCCCAGCCAGAAGTGTCTGTCACCAGAGAACAACGTCGATGAAAGAGGACAGGGTGAGTGAAAGGCCCAGCCTCTCCCCATGTGGCTGGCCTCCCTCCTAGGCCCAGATACTGCCTTCCCCTCCAGCACAATCCCATCTACAGCACCATACAGGTCCCCTTCTAACCAAGGCCTCCAAACAGAGTGGCTGGCAGAGAAATTCATCCTCAAGCTGGGTGTGGTGGTGCACACCTGTCAACCCAGCCCTCCAGAGGCTGAGCCAAGAGGATCACCATGAGTTCCAGGACAACCTGAACCACGAGTTCAAGGCCAGCCTGAACTATATAGTGAAAACTTGTTTCAAAACACCAAAAACCAAAACCAAAAAACAAACAAACAAAAAAACCACCTTGCAGGAAGTCCCCACTGAGAAAGGGGCTGGGGCTGAGGATGAGCCTGTGCCTGAAGGCTGCCTGCTCAGCCGCTTTCCCACTTAGCTAAGAGGCCTGAGTTCCTGAGAGTCCTGGGGTCCCTCAGCCCCAGGCCATAGCCGGCCATTCACGGAAGCCCCGAGGGGACTACCAGCACTGCGGGTCTCACAGGGAAGAAAGTCCAGGGAAGCAGTCTCGGGGCTAGCCCGGGAAGCACCAGGTGCTGGACAAGGGCGCCACCAGCACCAGGGGAACGCCGATCACAGGCTCCATCCCGCAGGGGGCTGGCACACGCTAACTGCCTCGGACCCGGCCCACCCGTGGGCCCATTTCACAGATGAGACCGTCGCCGGCGAGCCAGGGTGCCGCCTTCCGTCCCCAGTACTCCCAGCCTGCAGACTAGGGGCACCGCGGAGCCCTGCGGGTCGCATGCTCCGGGCCACCTGGCCCGACCTCTGCGATCCGCTGCTTCATTTGCTCCATCTGCTCGCGCTGCTTTTCCCGTTTCTTCATCAGGTGCATGGCGCGGCCGGCCTCGCTCGCGGCGCCCTTGTATTGAGCCATGGCGGTGGCGGTGGCGGTGGCGGCAGCAACAACAGTGACAGCGGCCCAGCCCGGTAGAGTCTTGGCGGCGGCAGGGCAGTCAGCTGACACCTGACGTCTGCTCCTGCCCGGCCCCTTCCCACCACGTGACCAAGGACGCCCCGCCTTTATCGCCCGTGACGTCCGCTCCCCCCCCCCCCGCCCACCTGGGCTGCGAGATCCCTGGCCCTAGGGTTGACTCCCGCGGAGTTGGCCCACGACCGCTTCCTAGTCTTGGACACGGGGGCTGGATTCCCAGGCTCCTGCGTTGCCTCGACCTTAACGCCGCCCCGCAACTGGGCATCCAGCCCATCCCGCTGCCTCCTGGGGACCCAAGGCTGGGCCTACCCCCTGCGCCTCAGTGTTGATCAGGTTCAAGGGAGCCCCTGGTTTTCCCTTCGTGCCAGAGGCCAAGCCCCGGCTTCGCCGGCACCCCTGCCCGGCTACGTAGGCAGACCCAGATCCCCTTGCTTCCTTAGGCTCCCACGCGGGCCCTTGGTGCCCTCTACCTCCTTTCCCCCACCGAGGCCAGCCTGGTCTGCCCTCTTCCCTGGATTGGATCGGGAAAGATATAGGTGCGGCGCCAGGCTCTAAGCCAGAGTCCCAAACCCGAGGGCCAAGTCCCTGCCAAGCACTTAGCTTTAGGGAAAGGAAGGTAAAGATCTAGGCTCAGGTTTTAACAGTTTATTGGGAGATTTTGTTTCCTGTGAAATATACTACAGGTTGGGGAAAGGGACACATTCACTTTGCAAGGTAAGGGTTTCCCAACACTAAAGGGAAGGCATGGGGCGGGGCACACTGGGGTTGGGTCCATTTTACCACCTCCTTCTGCCTTGCGCACATCTCCTTTCTCAGCAAGTACCAGAAACACAAACACGAAGACAAGGAATTGAAACAGTGGGGTCAACCTTCAACAGGCCACGCCTACACATTCCTCCCTCCGGCTCTGCAGCCCCGGTGGTACCAGAAGGCTGGGGGCTCTGACTTGGGGTGGGAGCTGGTTAATAAATTAGAATAAATTATGGGGGAGGAATGCAATTTGTGCTGGGAGGGCCCCTTCTCTCCAACACGCAGGAGAGCTGGCGGGGGGAGGCAGGGGGCATCTCCAAAGGCCACTACAGCGCGGCAAGGGGGGGCAGAAGTCACTTCGTCTCCGTCCTTCCCGAACACCGAAGAGTTAGGGTGGGGAGACACACAGGGAGATGGATCCTCTTTTCCTAAGACAAGGAAAGGCCGAGAACAAGGACACCATCCAACCCCCATCTCCCGAACCATCGCTAGGGTTAAGGATTTGGTCAGTGAATCAGTGAGGTGGGTGACAGGAATGTGGGGGAAGCAGAGGATGCTGGGCGCAAGGGTGCCCAGCCATACGTCTCCCCAGCCCTGGAGGAGAACAGACACAGGAGTAGGGGCAGCAGGGGCTGGGGCAGGAGCCACCAATCACTGGTCAGCTTCTCCAAAGACATCGTTCTGTTTGCGCTTCATGTTCTCAAAGTCAAAGGCCGAGCCAGCCATGCGTTTGTAGATGTCTTTGATGTCATTGCAGGTCGTCTCAAAGTGTGTGGTGGCATCATAGGAGCAGGAGCAGAACACCTGAAAGGAGCAGCCCCTGGGGTAGGGTGACTGGGGAAGGGGCTGGGGGCAGCCGGGGCCAGGGCTGGGAGGCTGCTTACCTGGCTTTCAGAACCATCATCGATGGGCTCATACAAGTCGCTGATCGCCACGAACCTATGGACAGGTGGGGGCGCTTGTGTCGGACCCTGCATCCCCCCAGCCTCCAGCTCTAGCTCCCACCTCCAGCCCCAGGTACAGCCCAGCCCCTCACTTCTGGTCAATGGGCTCCAGCAGCTCCAGAGCAGGTTCAACCTCCTTCTCGGGATCAGCGGTCTCCACTGTGGTGCTGGCGATGGCGACGTACTTGCCTTGCGCCGCCACGTTGTGTGCATAGGAGATCATGCACACATAGATATCTGCTCAAGGGAAGTGCTCTGTTAACATAGGCAAGGGAGACGCCCCTCCCCAGCCCCAAACACGTGCCTTCACTGGGCAGCGGGCCCCCAAGAACCCAACCCAAGTAAGAGAGCCCGGTGGTTCCCACTACAGCAACGTCCAGAGGTGGAGCCTGATGAGGGGCGTGGCCTCCAGGGCTCTGCCCCTCTCCAGCGGATTGGTCCGCGGATGACGGCATAGCCCAATGGGCTCCCTGGGAGGCGAGGCCTAGCGGACGAGACAGGGACAGGGACAGGGACAGGGACAGGGGCAGGGGCAGGGGCTGGGCGCACAGGGCCTTGAAAGCTGTGTCAAACCCCAGCCCCTTCCTTCCGCCTCTTTCCCTTCCCTTAGCTTCCCAGGGTGGCTATGAGGTGCACAGTTCTCCCTGGCCCTTCCGCCGTGTTCTTCCTGCCTTGGAGCAGCTGTGGGCTGAAACCTCAGGGACCCAAATGAAACCTGTCCTCCTCCTATTGTGGGTGTGGGGGTTGGGTCCCAGCCACAGGAAGATGACTAACATAGCATCCAAGCTGTCATCCTCCTGGCAGGGGAGAGTCCGACCCATCCACCCAATGGCCAGGGCCACAGGAGCACTCCCTTTGTTCTACAATGGGGTCACACGGGGAGCCCCAAGGCTGGGGAGATCGGGCATGGCAGCCTGGAGTGCACAGGAGGCAGTGGGCTCCAGCCTCCCTACCTGACTTCCTGTTGACCTGGTTCTGGGGGATGATGATTTGGCAGGAGTTGGCATCACTGGTGTTCTTGATGGGGTGACTGAGAATACAGATGATGCGGATGACTTGGCCAGCCTTCCGCACACGCTCTGGGATGTAGCTGGGGTCACAGATCAGCTGCTTGCAGCGGGCCACCTGTGAAGGCACCATGAGCCCTTGCTCCTGCCAGGTCACTCCTTACCCCACTGGTCATCAGCTGGGCCCCCAGTGGCACCAGGCGGCCCATGGCAGGCAGGTTGCTCTTCTGTCACCGCTGCCCCTCCCTTCAGCTCAGGGTGATGAGGCTGGCACACAGGGCTGGGTGGCCCCACTGCTGAGACACCATGGTCAGGTAGACTTTCTGTTTTTTGGTTTTTTTGAAACAGTCTCACCATGTAGCCCAGGCTGGCCTCAAACTCGCAGTGATCCTCCTGCCTCAGCCTCCTGAGTGCTGGGATGACAGCTGTGCACCACCATGCCCCGCAGGTCAGGTACACTTTCTGGACCACAGACCTAGCATGTGGCCCCTGAGGACAAAGAACCCCCGAGGAGGTGACCCGCTGCGGGGAAGGCTCACCTCTCCCTCGGACTTCACGCCCACCACCTTGCCATTCTCCATGATGATGTCATCCACAGGCTTGTTCAGCATGTATGTTCCTCCATAGATGGCACTCAGTCTGCAGCGGGGACAGGGAATGAACAGGGGCCAATTCCACCATACCTTCCCTGCTGCACCACCAAGGTCTAGGTGGTGTTCATCCCAGCTGTCCCGGCACCAAGTAGGAACCCATTTGAGTGCTCTCCTTCCTCACCAGACACCCCCCAAGAAGAGTCTACAAAGGGTGGGTGCGAGGGTGGTAATGAGGGTACAGCTCCACAAGGAAAAGGCCCAGGGGGCCTGCGAGGAATACTACAGAAGGGCTAACTCCCAGCTAAGCACTGCTTGAGGTCTCAGGCCCAGGCCCAGCCCTGTGCTGCCAGATGAGCAGGCCACGTTCCTGAGCCTGTGCTTCAGCATCCTAGGGCTGTGCCCCCGTCACCCAAGATAGCCTGCAATGCACAGAAAGGCTCCAGGGCCATTTCCACCCTCAGCCTCAGTTCTACCTAATGATGCCATCTGAAGAGAGCTGTGTCTTCACCTTGCAAAGCCCTGGGGCAGCTCGCCCAGGCCGTAGAGTGGGTATAGATACGGGCTCTTGCCATACCGGGCCAGGGATTCGCTGTACAACTTGATGCGGTTGATGGTCTCAAGACAGGGCTGGTCTAGGTAGCTGGGGAGAGTAGCGAAGGAAGACACTCAACAGAAGCACCCTGCTCACCCCCACCCAGGTGCCTGGCCTGGTAAGACGGGTCAAATGTAGGATGTAGAAAGGGACACAAAGGTGACAGGTGAGCCTGGGGACAAGGGACATGCAGAGTGGGCAGGTGGAGGGAAGACAGGTGCAGCCAGGCAAAAGGGCACCAATCACGCCAGCTTCCCCTCACTCGTCAGTGCGGTAGAGCGCCAAGGCATGACCAGTGAAGTCAATGACATCTTGGCCCAGGTCAAACTTCCGGTAGACATCACGCATGCTGGTAGTCTGGGGATCCACACCCTCGAAGGACTTGGGGTCGTTCTCATCAAAATTTGCCACAAACACCAGGAACTTGCGGAAGCGCCGTTTCTCAAACATGCCCATGAGATCTGGGGAGGGTGTGAGGAGACCCTGTGCACGTGGAAGTACGAGAGTCCCCTGCCTGCTGGGAGAGGCTGAGCTGCCACATGACCTAGGGTCAAACCCTCTACGCTTCTCCGCTCCAGTGTCCTCCCCTGTGTGAAGAGGGCTGTAGACAGGACAGGGAACTCCCAATTCCACTGCCTGGGGATGTTCTGGGATCAAGTGGAGCCCTTGCCAAAGACTGAAATCTGTAAAACTCCAGTTCCCCTCCATGGCCCTGCTACGTGAGGAATAGTAGGAGACAACAGAGAATGCAGGGCAGCGGGCCTCTGGTGCCACCTGGGGAACAGAACCATGAGCAAAGGGGGGCCTTGCCGTGGACAGCTGCCTCCCCCACCCCTACACTCACTCGAAGCCAAGGCTTCAGTCTCCGTGGAGGGCACCTTGTAGATCTTGCCCCCTTTGTAGACAAAGCTGCCTTCTACCACCTTGAAGTCCAGGTAGCGGGTCACTTCCGTGTACAGCAGCATCTTTACCAGCTGCCCTGTAGGGATGGCGTCAGCAGGGCTCCAGCGAGAGGCTCAGGCCAGGCTGGCTGCCCCTGCCCTGGAGCCCAGCCCTCCCGTGTCCCCCAACCCCTCCTTCCACCGAAGCCCCTTCATCTCCCTCACCATTGGCCATGAGGAATTTGGGGATCAGGTCAACATTCCAGTCTCGGCCTCGGCCC